TGTGTGTTTATGCTGGTGCATTATTAATGTGATCAATGCCTTTTCCTCAACATATTTGTCATTATGTATCAATATTAACACTCATGATGAGGTTGTAGAATAATTTGACGACACTATCAGATGCCAAATTGAACAAGAAATAGGATTAATATAGATTTGCAGTGTACTATTGCAAACTATAATTGAGATGTTAAATGTATGCCTAATCTCAGATGGACTGACAGTGATTCGTCTATTATAAATCAAATAAATATTGGTATGATAAGTTCAGAGACTGAAGTCAACAATGTGATTTTGTTAAAGATTCACCAGGGTGTGTGATATGACTGAACAGAAATCATAAATGACTATTGACTATCTATCCTTGCTACACCTAACAAGCAGATAGGACCAGTAAATGCTAATAATAATAATAGTATTCCTGTAATAAAATAGTTGCCTATATCAGACCCCCTAGTTTTTTGTGATTTTGTGATCGCTGAATCCAACACAAAATCTACAAAAAGTTTATTGGACATGCAAAATTCTTATTTTAAACGCAAAATAATCACAAAAAAATGTGAATAATCTCATTTTAAAAAATCCAATTCCAAACCATAAAATCAAATATTTATTTATTTTAGTTTGCAATTAATTGTTTTACATGACTTATAGACGTTGCACATGAAGCACTAGTTATGTATTTGAGTGTCTCTCAAAAAAATGACGTCTCACCTGCACCCTTGCATACCTAACATTACATGGAGGGGGAGGGGGTAAGCACAGGTTGAAAGTTATTATGAAAATTAAAATAGAAGTTGTTAGTGAATTGACTTTTTTCCCTAGATTTAACTGTGAAGTCAGATAAATTTCTTCAAAAATGTACTTTAACACACACACACACACATATGCACACACACACACACACACACACACACACACACACACACACACACACACACACACACACACTGTAAAACGCAATAAGTCCCTTTGCCGATAAAAGAAAGTAAACTCATTTTAAGTTGACTAAACCTAGTATTTTTAAAATTGGGTACATTTTTATAATTATATTTAATATATACATACATGAAAAACTATATTTAGAGAGAGAGAGAGAGAGAGAGAGAGAGATAAATATATTTCAATTAATACATTACAAATACCTTGGTTAAGAAATAATTAATAGGCAATTATAAGACTGCACAATATTGGAAACATCTGACATCACAATGTTTTGTTTTTCTGCCATATTCATTGCAATATGAATATAATTACTTCACCAGATGACTTGAGTGACTCAATTTGAAAAGAACTTATAATTTTATATTGATTGGCATGACTTCATATGACAGTTGATCTGCATATAGGAAACAGACAGCGTTTTTTTTTTTGTTGTTGTTGTTGAATAATTAAATGTAAACAAATTACACTGCATAATCTTCTTTGTATAAAAATTAAATACAACTGATTTTTTGTTGTTATATATTCTTATACCCAAATGATGTAACTGTTCTGCACTTGAAATCTACATGCCTTGATTCTTGGTCAGCTATAATTCTACTCAAATGTCCTGCAGGATGAATAAACCGAATTTACAGATCCTACAATGTGATTATTATGAATGATCACATTGAGAAATCGATGCTAAAACAAAATGTTGTGCAGCCTTAGTCATTTATTTAAAAAAATCTGTATTTTAATTGTGCAAAAAACATGTTTGTATTAATGTAAAGATTTTGATTATTTAGGTATTTCATTTATTTTTCTTTATATTTACATACCTTTAAAATGTCATGTAATTGGGGACTATTCATTGATTAATAGGCCTACATTTTTTTATGTGTAATGCAGCATTATTTTCATACATTATAATCTGTCCCAGTTTTGTGCAGAGAAAAAAAATTAAAATAATGATGACTACATGACACTTTTACTATCATTTACAGAAGAAGAACTGACTAAAGTATTTTATAGACCATTCTGTATAGTTATAACAAGAGTCATTCATTCATTCATTTTCTTGTCGGCTTAGTCCCTTTATTAATCTGGGGTCGCCACAGCGGAATGAACCGCCAACTTATCCAGCAAGTTTTTACGCAGCAGATGCTTTTTCAGCTGCAACCCATCTCTGGGAAAGATCCACACATATATATATACACACACACTCATACACTACAGACAATTTAGCCTACCCAATTCACTTGTACCACATGTCTTTGGACTGTGGGGGAAACCGGAGTACCCGGAGGAAACCCACGCGAACGCAGGGAGAACGTGCAAACTCCACACAGAAACGCCAAATGAGCCGAGGATCGAATTAGCGACCCAGCAACCTTCTTGCTGTGAGGCGAACGTGCTACCCACTGCGCCACTGCGTCGCCTTATAACAAGAGTCATTTCGAATAAAATACAATGCAAGTTCAATGAACACGTGTCCAAAAATAAAGTGTCATTTATTGTTTACATAAAGGTTATGACTTTGTTTCACCCATGTTTTGGTGTTTTATATGCACAACAGAAGTTACTTAAAATATTAAAGCAGATTATATACTTCAATATGTTTTCTATAATATCACGTTAGCAACGTTAAAGGGCCATGAAAGGCCCCCTGTCTCAGCAGGGTGTTTTTTGGAAATAGCCAGGAAAGTGGGTGAGCCAAGCTTTGTTTAGGTGGGAGTGTCGAGTGGCAAAAAAGGGAAGGATTTGCATGAAAAGGGGAGTTTCAGTTCAAGCATGCGCTGATTTTCACTGAGGCAAAACAAACACAGACGCAGAGGAGAAAGACAGTGACATCAGTAGTTGAGTTATTTGCCAAATTCTTAATTTGTCGACTTTAACTAATGTTTGGCACTTTCACTTTTATTCAGGAACATTTCATGCATGCCTCCCCTGACAAACTTGATATTGGATGTGAGGAACTGCTGGAAGAGTGTAGTTTTAATGGATTGTTTCATAAAAAAAAATCTTTTTTCTGTAACTTAGATGCACTCTGTAGGTAGCATCACAAAGCCGTGTGTGTATAGACTATCCTGTCACAAAATGTGGCGAAAATCCTACACGACAGTACTAGTTTGATTAAGGTGTTTACATGTTTACATTTAGAGAGGAGCATTAACAGTGGATCTTTCAGCCCATAATATTAAAGTGATATTAACATACTTTAAACTTAGTAACTAAATCATTTTGACTAAGAGATGTCTTTAAAAACCGAAGGAGTACTGCTGACGATACTAACTAACTTTGCCTCTGATTAAACATGAACAAAGAACATTCATCACATACTTTCCAAATCTGTAGAGACAGGACAAGCAACACCAACTGGAGCCGTGTCTTTTTTAAAAGGAGACCAACAGCAAATTCTGATCTCACCATTTCCAGATGCGAAAAGCTCTCGGGTAAAACATGTTCCTTACAAACATATTTTTGTCACGTGTTAGCAGACCACTGAGAGTCCAGCTGCGCTCTCATAGTGGGAAATGAAAACAAAACCTTCGTTGCTGTGTGTTTTGATGTTTCGTGACCCTTTAACATGCATATAATTGCAGACACCAAAAGTTGTGTCTTATCCAGGAGCATCGCTATACCCATTCACTGGGGCACGTGCCCCATTAAAATCGCCAGTGCCCCAGTAAAAGCTTTGAGATGCAAGTTACTTTATGCAAGTGTATTTATTAAGAGTGATAATCCCAGAATAAAAGCGTCATTCTCTATGTGCAACTAAACGAACGCTGATGAAAGCAATGTAGTTTAATCAAAAAGCTAACTGAGCAAGTGCGCAGACAAAAACATAACCGCGTGCCTCACACACCGCTCTTGCTTGACGCTGCATTTATAAGTCCCGGTTGTAAACATGCACGCCAAAATAGCCGCGCCGCTCATGCCTTGTGAAACCGCTATAACAGTCTTTTATGTGGAGGTGCCGTCACTCAGTGAGTAATGCAAGTCGACAAAACAAAGTTTAAATAATAAAATAGTGACTTTATTTAACATTAAGCATGACTCCAGCAAAAAGGACGGATGATGAGTCAGGGAGGTAAGACTTAATAAACCTAATTCTCTGCCATGAGTCAGGGCTAAGACAACACACAACAGATAATTCTATAAACATCTTTTTATATTCTATAGTATTGTTTATATAGAATTCCATTGTAATAAAAGTAATATTCATGAAAAAGATTCTTAGCATCACTCCAGTTGTGTCTTTTGATTGTTTTCCAGTTACATTTAGGAGTAATTTCTGTTATTTTTTTAGAATAACAATTGTATAATAACAATAAAACTGTTTTTTATTTATAATTATATATAATTGTTCTTATATATATATATATATATATATATATATATATATATATATATATATATATATATATATATATATATATATATATATATATATATGGCGAAGCAGTGGCGCAGTAGCCTCACAGCAAGAAGGTCGCTGGGTCGCAGGTTCGATCCTCGGCTCAGTTGGCGTTTTTGTGTAGAGTTAGGATGTTTTCCCTGCGTCTGCGTGGGTTTCCTCCGGGTGCTCCGGTTTCCCCCACAGTCCAAAGACATGCGGTACAGGTGAATTGGGTAAGCTAAATTGTCCGTAGTGTGTGTGTGGAGGTTTCCCAAAAATGTGCTGGATAAGTTGGCGGTTCATTCCGCTGTGGTGACCCCGGATTAATAAAGGCACAAAGCCAACAAAAGAATAAATGGAAAAAAAAAAAAAAAATATATATATATATATATATATATATATATATATATATATATATTTATTTATTTATTTATTAAATTTTTTTGCAGGGTGAACTGCCCCAGTTGAGCTTTATGTCTAGCCACGCCCCTGATTTCATGGTAGATCATTAATTGTGCAATGATAAAATAAGTGACTGGATCCTGCATTGTGTATCTCCATTCTCATCATTGATCCTGACGTTTGTGTTCTAATAGCATAATTGAACTGCTGCCCTGTGGTCATCAGTGATTTAGTCTAATGCGTGCTGCTCTTTTGTCTCTTTTCTTCTGCTCAGGTACGGCTGCTCAGGGGAGCCCCCTGCTGGCCTCATTACCAATGCAGGGTCGTCCGCTGCAGACGCCGCTGGACCTCAAACACTTCCTGCCCTTCCGGCTGAGCGGATCCTCCCCGCTCAGCCTCTTCCCAAACTTCAACAACGTGAGTTCAACATCCACACCTCCTAAAAACCTTCCCACAAGTGTCCACAGTTTACTCGGGACACGTTTTTTTAACGTCATTGTCGGGTCCCAAATGTCAGCTCTAAATGTCAAGAAGGGATTCAGCAGGCTGCGGGGTGTTTTTAAAAGTGCAGAATCTTCGCTAAACAGAGGCGTATTGTGTTAGATAGTAATTTTAGATTGAAGAGTCGAGCAGCAGCTCAAGATTAGGATCTAGATTTGGTTTCAGACTCTCTGTGCTGTTTTTGGAGGCGGCGAGCGTGTAACAGGGTTTTCTTTCTGCACACATGCATGCTTGTTTGTGTGGTTTATGAGGACTTTTTCCATAGGTGTAATTTATCTTTTCACTGTAAAACCACTTATATGGCCTAACACCTAACTATGAACCCAAACCTCAAAGGAAACCTGTGGCAAATTCTGAATGTCAAAAGACACCTGTTAACTAGGAAGTTTAGACATTTTGAAACATGACATGTCCTCATAAAACATCATAACATTGTAATAGGTCACATTTACGTCCTTATACAATTTTCATTCATTCATTCATTTTCTTCGGCTTAGTCCATTTATTCATCAGGGGTCGCCACAGTGGAATGAACCGCCAACTTATCCAGCATGTGTTTTACACAGCGGATGCCCTTCTAGCTGCAACGCAGTACTGGGAAACACCCATACACACTCATTCACACAAATACACTACAGCCAATTTAGTTAATTAAATTCACCTATAGCGCATGTCTTTGGACTGTGGGGGAAACTGGACCACTGAACCACCATGTCTCCCCTTAAATAATTTTGTTTCCTCTTAAACTACATAAACCTGAACACACAAACACATACAGATGGTTTGAGAACGCTCCATAGGTCTAATTATAGTGTAAAAACCTGCCCTTACCCTGCACATGAACCCAATCCTCACAGGAAACCTGTGGCAAACTTTGAATGTCAATAGACCCTGTTAGTTATACTTTTTAAGTGTTTTGAATTATGAGGACACACCGAATGTCCTTATAAATTCTTCATTAACAATATAACACCTAGGTCAAAGGCGTGTCGTTAGAAAATTTTGTATAAGTTGTCTTCATAAACTAAATAAACAAGTACAGTTTATATGTAATGTTTTTAAGTACATTGATAGTGAACTCAGAATGGGCGCACTTTTGAACACAGTATATGCATTTGTTAATATATGGGCAGGTGCTGGTGTCCTCTCTTATCAGATCTAACAGTGTGTGTGTGTGTGTGTGTGTGTGTGTGTGTGTGTGTGTGTGTGTGTGTGTGTGTGTGTGTGTGTGTGTGTGTGTGTGTGTGTGTGTGTGTGTGTGTGCGTGAGCGTGTGCGTACGCTAGAGTGATAAATGCACCTGTCTCTTCAGTAAAGTAGCTGTCAGTGACCTCTCTCCTCTCTTATCCTCCACTGCTTCCCTGCGCTTTCCTTACTGCTCCTCTCTTCTCCTTTATTTTCTGCTCTTCTCTGCTCTGCTCTTCTCTTCTCTTCTAAATTTTTCTGCTCTTGTGTTCTCTTCTGCTAGCTTCTGTTCTCTGATCTGTTCTTTTCTGTTCTATTCTACTCTATTTTCTATTCTCTTGTTTATTATTCTCTTTTTAGTTCTATTCTACTCTACCCTCTCTTCTATTCTTGTCTTCTATTTTTTCTGTTCTATTCTATTTCACTCTATCTTCAATTCTCTTCTGTTCTCTTCTCCTTTCTCTACTTCTAATCTTTTGCCGTCTTCTCTTCTTTTCATATTTTCTACTCTCGTTTGCCTTCTGTTCTCTTTTCTGTTCTATTCTGTTCTGTTCTTGTATTCTCTCTGTTGTATTTTCTATTCTATTCTACTCTACTACTGTATATTCTATGCTATTCTGTTCTACTCTGTCTTCTATTCTCGTCTATTATTCTTTTATCCATTCTATTCTACTCTACTCTCTTCTTCTCTTGTCTTCTCTCTTTTCTATTCTATTATACTCCCTTTTATTCTCTTCTGTTCTTTTCTCTTCTCGTTTCTTTACTTCTATTCTTTTACTTTTTCCCTCTCTTCTTTTCTTTTCTCTTCTCTTCTCTTCATATTTTCTGCTATTGTTTGTCTTTTGTTCTCTTTTCTATTCTACTCTAACCAATTATCTTTAATTCTTTTTTGTTCCATTCTACTCTATTACCTATTCTTTTCATTTCCTAATCTCTTCTTTTCTTTTCTTATCTATTCTATTTTCTTTTTTTAATTATTTTTTTCTGTTTTATACTATATTCTCTCTATCTTATCTTATATTCTCCTTTCATATTATCTTCTTCTCTTTTCTTTTCCTTTTCCTTTCTTTTTCCTGCTCTTTTCTATTCTATTCTACTGTACTATACGTTCTTCTCTTCTATTCTCTCTTTTTTTTATTAAAAAAATAAGTAATCACAGTAGATTATAGTAGTAGTAGTAAATATATTATAATATATATTATAATAATATTGATAATAATAATAATAATAATTATTATTATTATTATTATTAATATTATAATTACAATAATAATTAAATAAAGAATACACATTAATAAATCAGAATAAACTGTACATTTAATAATCAACATTAATGGATAAAACAGTAATAATTCATAAAAATAATCCGTATATTTACAATGATTAATTTATAATAATCTAGATGTTATCCTTTCTCTTCTTTGCTCTTTTCTTTTCTTCTCTTCTCTTGCTCAGATTTTTCCTCTTTTTTTCTCTCTATTGTTGATTTTGACTTCATGTCATTCTCTACAGCTGCTTTGTCTTTTCATTTCATCTTCTGTTATGTCCTTGTCTCTTCTCTTTTCATTTCATGATGTGTCGCCCTGGTTTTGTCTCTTATCTCATCTCTTCTTACCTTGTTGGCTTTGTTACTTTTCGTGTCCTCTTGTCTGTCTATCCTCAGCAGTAATCATCAGCATGTTTTCATCACCCGTGATGGTGTCTTAAAGTGATAGTTTACTTCCAAAACTGAAAATTATGTCATCATTTACCCACCCTTTACTTGTTCCCAACCTGTTTGAGTTTCTTTTTTTCTGTTAAAATGCAAAAGAAGATACTTTGAAAAATGCTTAAAAACCATTAACCATTGACTTTCATAATATTTGTGTTTGCTACTAAAGAGTGTCAATGGGGTCCTAAAAAGTCTTGAAATGTCCTAAATCAGAGTATTATTTGTTTAAAAGTTCCCCATTTACTGCTGAGGTCACAGACCAGGACAGACTGTTGTGCATACATTTAGTTTATTGTCATTTTTCAAAACAGTTGTTTATGTAAACAGTAAGTTTATGTTGAAAAAAGTGTATGTTTACATCTAGAGCTTGTCTGTTTTGAGACACTATTTAAAGTATTTTGCTAATTAATATATAATTATCATAGTATTATTAAATGTATTAAATTATTCTTTTTTTTAATAGGGCAAATATAAATATTTTCCATCTGGGCCATTTAAAGAACTTCTTGGCGTTTAGCCTTGTTTCAGTCTAAAATTTTATTCATAAAAATTGTCTCAAAGTCTTAAATTTAACTTGGTGAAACCTGCAGAAACCCTGTTACTATGGAAGTCAGTGGTTAAAGGTTTCAGCGTTTGCTTTGTTTTTTTACTTATCTTACCATATTTACCTTTTTTATTATATTTTCTTTATTTTATTGTCATTGTTAAGCACCAACACATGAAAGCAAAAAAAAATTTTTCCATTCTTCTCATCTTTTCTCACCTTTATTTATTTTACTTCATTGCTTCTCGTCACATTTTTTCTCGTTTTCAGCTTTTCTGTCTCTCCTCATTTCTGCTTTTCCATTTCTTCACACTTCTCTTGATTGTATCGCTTAACCTTTATTGATTGGATCAGCCATTTTGTTTTTTCTGTCATTAATGATTTTCTGTTCACTGTTTATTGTCTCATTTCTTTTCTCTTTTCTGCTTATTTCATCCCTTTTCTTGACTTTCAGTGTTTCGATTTTAACTCATGTCATTTTACGCTTGTCTTTTTTATTGTACTGCTTTGCTTCTCGCCTTGTTTTTTTCTAGACATTTAAATCCATTTTATTTAGTCCATTTATTGATGCCTTTTTCTCTCTATACTCTAAAAAATATTGATTAGACAAAACAAAAAAATAACGCAACAGTTTGCATCAATTTATTCGACTTATTATTATATGTTTGCAGATCACTGGAGAACTACACACATGCCACCACTTGAACTACAAATACCAGGTTGCTTTGCGCAAATCAACTCTTGCTACAGTTGTCAACAGTGTGGAAACTCTCTCACACACACACACACACACACACACACACACACACATAGCTGAAACAAATGTCCAATGATTACCTGGACTATGAACTATGCACACACACACACACACACACACACACACTTCTGGACTTAAGTCTTATTCATCTGTAACACCACAAAGTGTATCCCTGTTTAGTCTTTCCTTATCCAAGCCTTGTTTCCTTGTTATTGATTCTTTGCCCTGTCCTGACCATTTGCCTGTTTTTGACTACGGTCTTGGATTAACTTCAAGCTCCTGTTTGCTACCTGTTTGAACATTGCCTGCCTGACTACTTTTATTAATAATTTGCACGTGGATCCTCATCTCTGTTGTCTGCATCCCTGTGTTACAACTACTGTGAAATGCACTGCATTGTGGGCCATTTAAAACTTTTACAGTAACTTACTGCATATCAGGAATTTGCGGTATTCTACTGTAAGCAAGTATTGAATTCAATTGAATTCAAAAGTAAGTGCTAAAATATTACAACTGCTAGTGTAAAATGTAAACAAATAACAGTAAAAGTACTGTAAAAAATTTTTACTGTAAAATTTAAATGTAGTAAAGGGCATTTTACCATAAAAAGAAGCCTCTTTTACTGTAAGAAATGAATATGCGGTAGGGTCCTGCTACTGTTAAACACATTTACAGGTAGTTTAATATAAATGGCCAGTTGCAGTAACTGCTGCCAGTAAGTTACCACAAAAATACAGTAAAATGTCTAATAGTGTATATTAAGTATTGCAACTTATTCTCATCTCTGGTCTTGCATTTCTTCCTGCTTTATATCTCGTATCATCCTTTCTCTTCTTGTCTACTTTCTTTTAATTTAGCTTCTCTTCCCTTGATTTTACTGCTCTGCCTCGCATCTCTTCTCCTCCTTTCTGTTGTCATCTCTCATCTCTCTCATTCCTGCAATAATATCATGCTCGTCTCCAGACCTTCTCCAGTACTCACGGTCAACAATAGGCGACTTGATAAGACACATACATTCACTGACACACTTACACACGCATTGACCTGGCAGCGTCCCAGCCAGTCAGGATTGACTGCGGATGAACAACTTCAACATTCTTGAGGCTCAAAAAACAAATAGACGCGTGACCAGCTGCAGAATCTGGAGTTATGTTTCAAGCCATCTTTTTTGCTTATGCACACTTTGGAGTATTGCATTGCATTGTATTGCATTAAAAAAGCGCTATTTTCCTTCAACCAGCAGTGACTACTTTATATGTTTTGTTTTTCTTGTCTACTATGATTGGCTTTGTACACTAAATAAAATATTTATTGGATTTATTATTTTTTTAAGGTGAGTGGTTGCAAACAATTTAAACAAACACATTTAATTTAGCAATGTTTAACTTAATTTATTTGTTTAAATTCAGCCCAAATAAGTTGTTTGCAACTTCTCACCTTGAGAATATTTTATAAACCCAATGAATCATTTCAGTGTAGCATAAACAGTAAATTCAAAACACGATTTGTAAGTCGACAAATCCAATTCGTGATTTCAAAACACAATTTGTAGTATACACAAATCCAATTCATAAGTTAACAACACGATTCAAAAATTCACTAATTCACTTAATAAATCCAAAACACGATTCAAAAATACACACATCCGATGTGTAAATTCAAAACACAATTAATAAATACACAAATCCAGTTCGTAAATTCAAATCACAATTCATAAATACACCAATTCAATTCAGAAATTCAAAACACGATTCAAAAATGCACAAACTCAATTCGTAAATTCAAAAGACAATTCAAAAATACACCAATTCAATTCATAAACTCAAAACATGATTAAAAAATACACAAATCTGATTTTTAAATTCAAAACACAATTAGAAAATACACAAATCCAATTCATAAGTTTACAACATGATTCAAAAATTCACAATTTTATTTTGTAAATTCAAAACATGATTCAAAAATACACAAATCCACTTCGTTAATTCAAAACACGATTCAAAAATACACAAATTCAATTTGTCATTTTAAAAGACAATTCGTAAATACGCAAATCCAATTTGTAAATTCAAAACACAATTCATAAATACACCAGTTCAATTCATAAATTCAAAACTTGATTCAAAAATACACAAATCCGATTAGTAAATTCAAAACACAATTAATAAATATATTCAATTCCTAAATTCAAAAGACAATTCGTAAATACGCAAATCCAATTCGTAAATTAAAAACACGATTCAAAAATACGCAAATCCAATTTGTGAAATACAAAACACGATTCGTAAATACGCAAATCCAATTTGTAAATTTAAAACACAATTCATAAATACACCAATTCAATTCATAAATTCAAAACACGATTCAAAAATACACAAATCCAGTTTGTAAGTTGAAAACACAACTCAAAAATACACACATCCAATTCATAAATTCAAAACACGATTTGTAAATACACAAATTCAATTCATAAACTCAAAACACGATTCAAAAATACAATTGTGTTATTTTGAGACTGATCTGGCTCCATGAACATACTCCTATTGTGATGTGATGTGGAGTGTGTGTGTTAGCATGGTGTCCAGATTATGGCTGTCTGATTTAGTCTATTGGAGAGTCTGTTGATTTTGATTCCTATGGAATTTATATTTTTTAACCCTAATTTTTGTTCCCTAGATGGACCCAGTGCAGAAGGCCGTGATCAACCATACGTTTGGTGTTCCTCAGTCCCTGAAGAAAAAACAGGTCATCTCATGCAATATCTGCCACCTGCGCTTCAACTCCACGGTTAGTGTGTAGTGTGTGTGTGTTTTACCCTCTGCAGTAGTGATGACAGACAGTAAACATCACCGTTGGACGGGTAAAAGCTGTTTCATCCCTTACAGCATTTAGCATTTCTTTCTTTATCCTATTCTGTCTTCTTTCTTTCTTGCTTGCGCTTTTTTTTTCTTTCTTTCTTTCTTTCTTGTTTTCTTTTTTGCTTTCTTTTTCTCTGTCTTTCCTTCCTTCTTTGTTTCTTTTTCTCTTTCTTTCTTTCTTTCTTTCTCTTTCTTTCTTTCTTTCTTTCTTTCCTCTTTTTCAGTTTCTTCTTTCTTTCTTTCACGTTCTTTATTTCTTTTTTCTTTCTTTCTTTCTCTCTTTTTTGCTTGCTTTCTTTTTTCTTTCATTTCTTTCTTTTATCTTTCTTTATTGTTTGCTTTCTTTCTTTCTTTTTTCTTTCTTTCTTTCTTTTTTATTGATTTCTTTCATTCTCTCTTTCTTTTTTTCTTGCTTTCTTTCTTTTTTCTTTCTTTTTTCTATCTTTATTGTTTACTTTCTTTCTTTCCTTCTTTCTTTCTTTCTTTTTTCCTGGCTCTTTCTTTCTTGCTTGCTTTATTTCTTTTTCTTTCTTTTTTGCTTTTTCTTTTGTTTTGTTTTTCAGCTTTCTTTCTTTCTTGCTTGCTTTCTTGCTTTCTTTCATGCTTGCTTCTTTTTTTGCACACTTGTTTTGTCTTTCTTTCATGCCTACTTTCTTGGTGTCTTTCATTATTTTCTTTTTTCTTTCTTTCTTTCTTTCATTATTTCCTGTTTTCTGTCACCATTTTGTCCTTGCTTTTTTATTTGTGACCCTAAATCACAAAACCTTATTTTTAAGGCTTATTTTGTATAGGCATATTTGTTGTTAGAAGATGAATTAGTGATCATGTTCCATAAAGTTATTTTGCAAAAGCCCTACTATATATAGTTTTTGATTAGGATTGATTAGCAATATGCATTGCTAAAAACTTCATTTGAACAATTTTTAAGGCAGTTTTTTTCAATATTTAGATTTATTTAAGCCGTAGATTCCAGATTTATTTTTATCTCAACCTAATTTTTTCCTATCCTAACAAACACATCACTTGAAACATATTTATTTAGTTTATTCTTCCATATAATGTATAAACCTTAATTTTTAATTTGGCAAACATGACTTGTGATCCAGGGTCACATTTTGTCTTTGATAATGTGATTTTTTTTTTTACCCATTCCTATAACATCTCTCTTTCTCCTTTTACACACACACACGCACACACATTTGACTTGTTAAATAGTACTTCCCATTGCCTTCTATTGTATTATTATCCTAATTGTTATAATTACTGCAGACTAACTGTAACCCAATTACTATAAAGCAATAAAAGGTCTTACTGTATAATGAATAATACAGTATAGCACAACCTTAAATCTATTATTGCTTGTATAAAATTGGTGCTACATCATGTCAAAGACAGAACTTTTCTTTAGAATTGTTCATTGTTTAACTAGAATTTGAATTCTATCATGTGTTATGTTGTTCTAAATCTGTATGCCTGTAACTTTTTTTTTTACATTGAGCACAAAGTATTTTTGAAGTATCTTCATGCAGTTCAGATGATTACAACTGTCAAACACCAAAAACCATTCTAAAAGTGCTTCATGCGACTCATATTACTATGCTTTGAGTCATTTGATAGCTTTGTGTACAGAACCGAAACCAAAAATCTCCAAGCCATTCGCTAAAAAAAATCTCACCTGCAGATGACAAAACTCATTCTCGTTCGATTGCATTTCACATGATTCTTTTGCTTTCAGAGGTACAGATTGAAAGTGCATAACAAATCAAACTAAAGTCTGTTCCACAAACTATTATACACTTTTACCAGGTGTTTATGCTCTAAAAATGTTACTGTAATTTGTTTCAATCCAAATTTGGGGAAAACATGGACAACTGTTGTGTTACATTTAAGCATTTTTAGAGTATATGTATAGTGAGCAGAATAGGAAGGCAACATGTTAAATTGCAATGATAAATCATTTTCACATGCACTGAAAACCATTATAAAGAAAATGCTTTGAGATATTATTGCATGAATTGTGTTTATATCGTGGGCTCATCTGCTTGCCTGCATCATAAATACAGTTTACATAGAATCAATCTTATTAAACCACTGAATTAACACAATTAGATCTAACTTTTTGGTGGAAATAAATCCCTAAATTAGCAGCTTTCAATATTTACTTATAATTTGAATTGCATTATGACTTTGATCTTTCCTCCAACAATGTTTGATGTTGAAAATCTTGAAAAATGTACTTTTGTCGACATTTTTAATAGTTTGAAGTGCTATTGTGACAATCACTAGTGGTCCAGCCCATGCAGATCATGCCATCATGCACTTCTCTCACACACCTGGCCCAGATCCCCCTTGACTGCAAGCGCACACAGCTGAAGCAGTTCAGGATTAATCCACATGCAGTTCAATAAACAGATTAGTCAGGCAGGCAATGGTCATGACAGGGGCAAACAGAAGCATTCAGAGAATCATAGCCAAGAAACAGGCAAAGGCCTGGCAAATAGGGTCAGGACAGGCAGGCAAAACAACACAAACAATCCACCACCAGTGTGCAGCATCCACCAGGTGATAGATGGAGAGGAGAGTGATGAAGCCAATTATGATATGGGGATGGTTAGGAGTCCATGATGGACAGAGGCCACTAGGCAAGTTTGGCCAGGATGCCGAGGTAAACCCCTACTCTTTTTCGACGGACATTCCGGGGGTTTTTAATGACCCCAGAAAGTCAGGACCTTAGTTTAATGTTTCATCTTAAAGACTGCGCTCACTGAGCAGTATAGTGTCCCCTTCACTATACTGGGGCGTTAGGACCCACACAGAGCGCAGATTGAGCACCCCCTGCTGGCCTCACTAACACCACTTCCGGCAGCAACCTAGCTTTCCCATGTGGTCTCCTATCCAGGCCGGGCACAGCCCTGCTTACTTCAGTGGGTGACCATGTGAGAGTTGCAGAGAGCTAGCTGACAGCAAAACAAGGCAAGGCTAGACAATAGACAGTTTTGTAATGCTACAGGATAACAAGACAGCAACGTGTGTGTGTGTGTGTGTGTGTGTGTGTGTGTGTGTGTGTGTGTGTGTGTGTGTATGTGTGTGTGTGGGTGGGTGTGTGTGTGTGTGTGTGTGTGTGTGCGTGCGTGCGTGCGTGTTTGAGAGGTGAATTAATAGTCCAGTTAATCAGTTCATGATTAGTTAACAGAGTTGTGTTAATGTCCGGATGACTGTCAGCTGTGGCAGGAGTGAATGGAGCACTTGATGACTTCTGGGATTTGTTGTTCATACTGTATAGTGGCAGAATTGTAGTCCGAGTGATAATGCATGTTTTCTAGCCATCTGCAAAGCCTAGATCGCTGGTGATCTTGATAGCTACTGTCTATTGTCTGAGTTGGTGTTCTTAAATGTAGTACAAAACCCTGGTACTAAACTACCTGTAATTTTCTGTCATTTTACAGACTTAATTCTAAATATTTTATTTATTATATAACATACAGGGACACAGGCACGTGCACACATAGGGCTCAACCTGTGCAGTGCACATGCCCTTTTTAGTCTTGGATAGAAAGTGCCTTGAACTGAACTGAAGTGCCCCACCCAATTCACCACAACCCCCTCCCTTTCCACAACACACCACCACCCCCCTTATTTATTGGACCTTCAATGTACAAAATTACATAGAAAAAGATGTTATATATATTAATTTATAGGTATAATTTATACTTCTAGGTAGTTATTTGGGGGCTATCATATTTTATGGAGCCCTAGCAGCAACTTAACTTGCTCATTAGTTAAATTCACCCCTGATAATATATACGTTCAAACTACTAAAAGTAGACAAAGCAGAGATCAAATCCCACAATGAAATTCATAACTATAAATAGACAGGAAAAAACATGAATCACAAAAAAACTGAAACTTTTTCTGTGTATTTTTTTACAGCATTGAAACTAGTAGAATCTTGACAGGTCTGTACGGCCCTCCTGAAATGAAATGCACATATACTGTATGTCTTATAACAATAATTCAATGGTTATTATTCGTCCTTATTTGATAACAAAAATGGTCAGAATCTCTAGCCTCCCTATCCATCACATTGTATGTTCCACAACATCATACAAGTTTATAGTGCATCTTTTTATGTATGTTTACTATATAACTCTGCTTGCACCGTACAGCAGCTTTATCAGTCTTTGTTGTTTCTGGCAAGTCCAGTGCTGCGCATGGAGAGAAGATCTGTGAAGCTGAGAGACATGAAAGCATCGCTTATCTCCACTGCCAGATTCATGCTGCTTGTGTTGTCAATAACAGTTATGTCTCACTTACTTTTAGTGTGTGTATGTGTGTGTCAACCTCTGAGCGACACTTGATCAGTTTCAGGCTGTTTGCAAGAATTTTGATGGCTGTATATTCATTTTTACCGTAACAGTTCAGTCAGTGTTGCTTGTGCTGGAATGTTTATTGATTTATTGAAATATTGATATTAAATGAATGTATTTAATTGAATATTGAAAGATAAGTGAAAAAGGTAGACTCTAGTTAGTAAAAAAATGATTAAATTCTGTGAATTAAGAGATTAAACATTTAGACTTGTTATAATAATAACAATAATTTGAGGATATTTTGCTGAATTTGTGTTTTTGTGTTGGTTTAGGCATGTCATGGGTAATCAAGCATGATATTTAACTTGCCAGTAGGTGGCGACAAGTTGTACAAATAAGTGATTCATTTATACGTTTTTAAAGGTGCTATATGGACGTTTTTGACTCTTCTAAAGCATGAAAATTCCATAGTGTGTTTGCAGATATTTAAGAAATCTACTAAGTGTAGTAGGCATAATTGTTTATCTGAAAAACAATCTTAAAGTCAGTTATTCTCCCTTGTGTGTAATTGTATTTGTTATCCCACCCACTGCCATTTTACCCAATTTTATTTTGCACC